CGCCAGAGCTAGAGCTGGGCCTCTGGCCTAGGGGGCTAACTGCCCCGCCAGCCCCGACCTCCCCAGGAGACGGCGACGACGACGCCGACGACGACGACGACGAGGACGATGACGAGGACGAGGACGACGACGACGCCGACAACGGCGACGACGATGACGATGACGAGGACGAGGAGGACGACGACGCGGCATTAGCAGGGCAGGTGGCCCCCTGGGCGGGCAGAGCTGCGCGCTCCGCTTCTTGCTTTTCCCGCTCGAGATCAGCGCAATACCACCGCGTGTTCTCTGCCTGGGGGCATGGGCGGTGCGAGGTCCAGAACTGCCAAGTTGTCCTCGCGAGTTGCCTTCAGCCGCGGCGACGAGGGGGGCTCCCCGACAACCAAAGACAAGTGGGGCACTGGAACCATTCATTCCCCCCCTGGGCCTCCTCGCGGCGGTTCCGCTTTATCTCTTCTCTAGAGCGTCGGAGTCTGACGGGTACTCCTATGGGGCAGGACGCGCCAAACATCGGGCTCACGACGGAGAGGGCGACTTTGGATTGGGGGTTCGAGTTACGACTCTGATGACGACGACGACAACGACGACGACGACGACGACGACTGATCGCCCTCCCCGTCGTTGGCCCCGCCTGGATTTCAACCTGCTCTTTGTCTGGGGAGAACACCTCTTCCTCCTCTTCCTCTTCCTCCTCGGCCCATGTTTTTTCTTTTGTCTGCAGGTCGCCTTTCCTTTTGGTCCAGGCAATCTTGGCCCCCTCCAAGGGGCCGCGGCGGCGCCAGCCGACTCCCGGGGGAGGGGGGGGCGCCCGTGGCGCGGCGAAACGAAGGCGGGAGTTTCCTCGTGGCTCACGGGGCGAGGAAGACGGGGTTGTGGAGGGAAGGATCAGAGAGGATGGGGGTGAGAGGATTGAAGACTACAGGAGGATTGGCAAAGTGAGGGGAGAAGGGAAACACGTTGTTGGGCAGATCTCTCCCGCCACCTCTCCCCTCCTCCTCCTCCCCCCTCCTTCTCGTTCCGTGTTTTTCGATCCGCGCAGGCGTGGCGACGATGTACAGGGCAGGCCCCTGCAGACCACCGCAAGTCACCTTCCACCTCACATTGCCCAATTCCATATCTTTTCAAATGGACTTGAGCATTACCCCTTGCTCAAAACAGTACGCAGCAATGCTTTATGACAGCGCATCTTGCGCTCTCCGCATTGCTTCAAAACGCATGCCTAAGAATAACAAGTACCTCTGGAAGCACCTGATCATCACATTTGCAACGTGCACGCGCCCGCACAACCTGGCGATCCGCCCATTGAAATCCTCATCCTGGAAATTGTGAAGCCATCTCGGATTGATGGCAGACATAAGGTGGTAATCTACAACATGACAAAAATAATGCAATTTGGGTTTGATCTTGCACAGGCATTTCGACAATCGCAGATTCTCACCAGCAACGTATTGGTAGCAGTTCAAGAACAAACACCCATGTTCATATGCCTCTTGCCGAGCGTTCTCACTCATCACAAGTCCCTCTTGGTGGAGCACATCAAAGTAACTGCACATAGCCCACAGACACGTTGAAAGTGTTCGCATGTAACTGGGGGTTGCTCATCTTGTTATTTCTCCTCAGCCTCCTCCTTCTCTCCCCGATCCTCTCTCCCTTCTCATCCTCCTCTCATCGTCCTCTCATCCTCCTTTTCCTCATCACCTTGTCCCTCCTGATCCTCCTCTCCTCCTCCTCATCCTGCGGGCCCTTCCCCTCCTCGTCTTTGTCGTCCTCATCTTACCCCTCCTCCTCTTATTCCTCCTCCCATCCGTATCTCATGTGGACAACTGCACCTATATAGCCTGGGCGTCAGCCGATGGAGCTCGACGAAAGCACCGGGGCCACGGCACTGACACCCCGAGGAGAAAAACTTATCTGTTTCACCAGGGACTGGAAAAAAGCAGGGGCTGCCACCCGACAGAAACTCATTGCCAACCCCGTGTGCCGGCTGTCGTCACAGATCAGTGCCAGCCTGGCCGATAAAAACGATGTGAGTATGACCATGTTCGCCGCCTTCACCGAAGAACTGAGTTCTGGGTATTTTTTGTCTGGAAGACGTGCCTCTGCCAATTAAATTCATTGAAAACACAGCGGGGGTGTACGAGATCTTTCTGTCTTTGCACCAGTTCTTGTAATCAATGTACAGTTGTTTTAATGCAATGTCTGGGCCATGATCGACATACGGTATCCAACGTTTGTCCACCATTTCAGCCATCACTGAGCCGACCAAAGTCAGGAGCACGCCAAGATGTAATACATGCATCAAGTCGTGGTGCACGGTCTCCAGCCGCCAGCCGTAGATATTTGACCAGGGGCTCACTGTCTCTGGAACTTCCGCACCCATATACATTTCGTGTGTTATTACACATTTCCTCCAATTGGCCGATCGGCAACAATCCCCAAAATGTAAAGCTTGCGGCGCCTTCTTGAATGGCGTTGTGGCTGCACATAGGTCACACATGTAGGTTCGTCCGTATTTATTTTTGAAACCATTGGCCTCGTATCGACATTTCAGGTCAGCTTTGAAGCCAGCATAGAGGAACGCATGCCCACCAGCAATATCTGTTCCAGCAACTTTCGCCCTCCAAGAAGAAGATGGCAACTCTTCTCCGTAAAATCCTCTAGTTGGATACTTCCCTTTGCGAAGTTGCTCCCCACACCATGCGCAAAACCTAGCGATCAGAGCGTGTATCCTAGAGCGAAGCTTGGCTGACGGAAACATATTGATGGGGCAAAGTGCCACCAAGAATTTCGTATCATATGAGTCTCCTTTTGTCACCAAGGACGCGAGCGACCATATTTGCATCTCTGTAAGCTTTGAGGAAGCAGCACCATCAGAGTATAACACATAAGGCACAACTGTAGAAGCTGCATGCGTTTCCAAATGCTTGCGGTGTTCCACAGCCCAGGGCTCATTTTGCACACCCGCCCAAAAATCTGCAAGATTAGATGGCCATCGTTCCCCAAGAACGCCCCTTTCAAATCGCTCTTTCCCAGCGTCGTGGAGCTGCCCAAACACTTCGTGCAAAGGGAGGACTGGGATGTTGACCTTTTTGAGCTTCAACTTTTTTTGGTCGCCAGTACAATCTGCAAGAAGTATGGTTTCCGGTTCATTCCATGTGCCGATTGAAGCCACCTGTGTAAATCACGCTCTTCATTTTGTGGGCAGCGTCCATGGCAGCCTAAAGATGCTATTGCCTGTACTGCAGGAGTTGCATTCCCTTCATCAACTATGGTTGCAATGGCAACAAGCCGCTAGGAACTGTTCATGCAGGAAACCAATTAAAATAGTCCAAAAATAGTCTCCCGCGATTCTGTGGAAGCCATGATGGAATAGTCCAAGAATAGTTTAAAAATACTCCAAACGCAACAGTTAGTACTTATGATTTTCTTTGGTGAACATGCGAGGAACACGTAGCGCGCGTTTCAGTTCGAACTGCCCGCGGGCAAATACACACGACATGCGTCTCGCATGCTAACCGTGGAAAACTCATGAGTACTCGCGTCTGAATTATGACGATCTTTCGACGAATCTTTAGCTAACCCAACATGGTTCCCACTCAGAGCAGGAAGACAATTCTTTGAATATCCCAATTGGTATCCTGCACCAGCAATTCTTAGGGGTGAGCTGCCATTATCGCGGACCGAACGGCACTATGCGTTTGAATTGGTTTAGCATGGGCGCTGTTTCGGGATTCTAACGAACCGAAAGGGCTTGAGACGCCTCCCCACTACGCCCCAGGACGGCCCAAGAGGGCCCAAGAGAGCTCCAAGAGGGCCCCCATAACGGTGCACGAGGGCCCCAGGGAGGGCCCAAGAGGGGCCCAAGAGGGGGGGCGATGACTGAAATTTCGAATGTGCCCCCCTCCAAGATGGCCCCGAATGGTCCCCGCATGCACCCCCGAGGCAGCCGAGAAGCCCCTAGAACCCCCAAGAAGCCAGAAGGAGACCCCAAGAGGCCCCAGAAAATCCCAAAGAAGCCCAGATAGGGCTCCCAAAGGCTTCAGAACAGCACCCGCGAGGCCCGCGAAAGGCATCCCAAGAGACCCTGACATGCATCCAAGAGGGCTGTGACCCACAACCCAGGCACGGTAGCGGGATTGGCCGAAGGCCTCTAGATATATCAGGGTAGCAAGACAAGAGAGGAGTAGGAGGGGGAAGAGAGGCCATTGACGGGGGAAGAGGGCTAGCAAGGGCAGGGGGAAGGTGAGGGAAGTGAGTCATCCCAAGAGCCTCCACACGCATCCAAGAGGTTCCTGGCCCACTGGATGCCTTCCGCGATCGTCGCAAGCTGTCGCTCCTTCTGGGGGTCGGCGGAACGGCGCAAGCCACTGGAAGAAGTAAGAACGTTGACCCAACTCACAGGGGCACCCCACTCGGACGCAACGTGGACCCAACTCACTTGGACTCAACCCACTTATACCCAACTCACTCAGTTGAACACTCCGTCACGTACCATCTCGCTTGGAACTTAGACTCAACTCACTTGGGTCCAACCCACTTGTACCAGCTCACTTGGGTCCAACTCACTTGCCCAACTCACTCAGTTGGGCTCAGCCCCATTTTCTTTTTCTCAATCTCCCTGCGACCTTGTGCCACTCGTCGTCCACGAGTGGCTGGTCCCGCGCTCGCCTCGCAGCGCCCGCCGCGAGGCCCCCAAACCGGCGTGGGCGGGTCCCACTCTGGGCCCCGAGCTCTTACCGCCTCTGGTCCTTTTAGGGTGCCTCCTCCTCCTCCTCCTCCTCCTCCCCCTCCTTATATTCGCCCTCCTCTCACACCTCCTCATCCTCCTGCACCACATTCTCGGACGGGGCGGGGAAAAGGGGCCAGGCGTTGCTCGTGTCGGCTGGTCCTGCTGGCGCTGTTTGTTGTTTGCCGCTTGCTAGCTGGCGCTGCTTGCCGCTTGCTGCTTGCTAGGGGCTGATTGCTGCTTGCTGCGTGCTGTTTGCTGAGGCTTGCGGGCGGCTCTAGATGGGCTTCATCTTGAGAGCGTTCGTGTAGCTCTGCAGGAGGCACGTGCTCTTGATCATGTCTGGCACGATCTCCCACTCGCGCAGCGTCGTCTGGATCTCGCGCATCCTCTTCCTCATCTCCATGAGGTTGCGCAGCAGGGCCTGATCGGTAATATTCGTCATCATTGCGTGCGTGACGTAGGCTACGCGGGCCTTGACCTTCACCTGGTTGTCGATGCTGATCTCATTTTCGATCGACGCCAGGTCGAAGTCCTTCGTCTTCTTCTGCGCGTCGTCAAGCGCACTGTGTATCTCGTCGGCCAGGCTCTTCCACCTGTGCACGGGCGCCCCCATGAAGCTTTTCGGGAACTCTTCCCTAAGCTCGTCCGTACTCGTGCACTGCTCCATGGCCTGCTTCCACTCCTTGGTCGACGGGTGCTCCTCGATCTCCGCGCGCAAGGTCTTGGCCGAGGCGGTGGCCGCGTCCAAGTGCGGCTGGCGGAGGACGGCACCAGCCCTCTGAGTCGATGTCTTGGCAGACGCGTGGATCTCATTCAGCTTCTCCTCCACCATCTTGTCGGACGAGTCCCAGTACGATGCCATGGCGCTCATGTCCTGCGATGTCTTCTGGAGGGCGCGGTGCGCCTCCCGCAGCGCTTTGTCGAGGTCCTCGCTCTGGCTCTGGACGTCGGTGTCCAGCTTGGACGCGAAACTCTGGAGCCTCCAAGCGGATCGGAGCACCTCCGCCATGTTGACGAACTTGTGCTGCCCCAGCTTCTCGGCGCAGGTCGCCATGACGTTGGCATGGATGGGCTCCTGATTGTGCGTCTCTGGAAGGATCTTAGATTCTCCGCACTCCGTAATGGCAGTGTAGATCTTGACCAGCAGTCCCTCGACCGCAGCAGTGACCTCGTTGGGCAAGTCCTTCTTCGCACAGGCATTGACGGCGTCCTTCAACTTCATGGTGCTGTCGGCGTCGGGGACCCAACCGTTCGCCGCGTCCTGCAGGATCTGGAACTTCGACGACAAGTCCATCTCAGCGAGGGCCCTCGAAATCGAAAGCAGCACCCGAGCAAAGCCAGGATCTCCTGGGAACAGTTTCGCCACGCTCTTCACGCAGCCCATGTACTCGGACAAGCGGAGATCATGAGTGGCCTTTATCAGACCACAGGCCGGCTTCCCATCAGCGTCCACCTCGATGAGCACGTTCGCTCGCTTCAGGGTCTGATCCCTCAACTCGGCCTTCACGATGCTCGAAGCCTCCTTGGGCAGCACGGACTCCCAGTACGGCACGTCGTTGCTGATCTTGTCGAGCACCTTTGCCGCCTCGGAAGAGGGGCCCTCGGGCAGCCCCTTCATCTCCAGGAGTGCGCTCTTGATCTTCGGGCCGTGCTCGACCATGAGCTCGCTCGACTGGAGCTTCGACGTGATCCTGGCCTCCCACGTCTTGTTCTTACTGCAAGCCACCGAAGCGATGTTCGCGGGCCGATCACAACCTGCCAGGACAGAAGCACCCTGCTTGCCTGATGCTCCAGACCCCTCCCTCTTCCGTCCCCCCCTCGGGGGAGAGGAAGGAAGCTGGGAGTCGGAGGAGCATCAGTAGCCGAGTGTTTGTGTCCGCTCAACCGTCAGTCTTGTACGCTTCCGCCTCGAACTCCTTGACCTCGGACACCGCGCCGAAGTCCGTGCCCACGTCGATGCCCGCGTCCATCACGCTCACCAGGACGCCGAGAACCTTCATCGCATCCACGTGGACGGCGGCAGATACGTCGCCTATCTCGGCATCCTCTGTCATGGACCAACGACGGCAAGCCGTCTCGGACAACTTCTTGATGATGGTGTCTCCATCCTCGCCCATCTCGATGATCTTCAGGAAGTTCTTGCCGAACAGGCACTCCATGAACACCTGGGCCGTCTTGTTGTCGCTAGCGCCGATGCCAAGCAGCGTGGGCTTAAGGGGGTCGAACTCGTTTACCAGCTTCTGCTTCTGAGATGGTTCATGCCACAATACCGCTGAATCGATCAACGAGCTGATGTCCTTGCCGAGGTCGGGCGAATCCTTCAAAAGCGCGCGCTCCCAGAGATTGTGGGCGCACCTACGGTACAGCGCAATCCGAAACTTCATGGTCATCTTGCAACCGCCTCTCTTCAACGGCGTCCAGAGAGACGTGAACTCCTCGTCCTTCATGGTGTGCAGCTTCTGGTAGCTGAGCTTGACCGCGTTCTCTGCCAGTTCCAACCTCCTGCTGAGGATCGTCTTCTGGTCTTCGGGCAGCTTCGGCAACTTATCCTTGGACTGTCGAATTTGTCTTCCGAGGGAGTCTCCGTCGAGCGCTTTCTCGAACTTGAGCTCGTAAAGCCAGTGCTGGTAGGAGCCTACCTGGTGCGGGTTCGGCTCCTCCTCCTCTGCCTTCAACTTCTTACCCGAACTGGATAGGTGGGATTCTGAATCCCGACTCCTCTTCGCCACCGCGGAAGGCGCGGTGCCCGTCGGGCCCGAAGCGCAGGAGGCAGCGCCGCTCGGCGCACCGCCCAGGCGGAGGGTCTCGGCGTCGCTAATCCCCTCCATGTCGTCGTCCACGGCGTCGCTCCCCCCGTCCATGTCTTCGTCCTCGTTGTAGATGTCTCCAGGCGCGTCTGGGCCTTTGTTCGGGCCCTTCCTCTGGCTGGCCTTCAGCTTCAGCTTGTCGACCTTCTCCAAGATGTCGCTGTGATACATGACTTGGAGGTCCAAGGCACCGACTCGACGGGAGCCCATGAATTGCCCTCCACCACCAGAACCCGAAGTGCGCAGGCGAGCGAGGCCCAGCATGAGACGGCTGGAGTGCCCAGGGAAGAGGCAGAAGTTAGGCCCTCTAAACGCGGACTCCTGGACGACCTGGCCGCTCGCCAAGTAAATCTTGATGACGGGGTACTTGCCCTCCAGCTCAGGGCAGCGCTTCACGAGGTAGATCGGATCTATACCAGTCGCTCCCATGTCGTAGGCAACCATGCCGAGGGTCTTGGGCGCTTTTTGGTATTCATTCTGCACTTCCTTCGCAGTCAAAGCGAGGTGCTTCACGTACAGCTCGGCTCCGCGGGCGTTCTCGTGATGGCCCGTCAACGAATGGGCGTTGAGCTCCTCTACCTTCTTCCCGTTGTCGAAGACCTCCAAGGCCCTCTTGATGTCCTCGTTATCATCAGCCCGCATCAGCTCACAGATCTCTGGCAATGGGGTGCCAGGCAGGCATTCGTCGCAGAAGCTGTAGCACCTCTCGCAGATCTTGAGCCCCATCGTGAAGTGCTCGAGGGAGCCGTCCGTGTCCACCTTCATCTTCACATCCTTGGACGGTCAAGCATTGAGAAAACACGCTCCAACTGCCCCCTCCACCCGACCCCCCCGTGGGACCATGACGTTTTCTGTAGGGGGAGGGGGGGGGGCGTTAGTCCGGTAGAAATGAGAGGGGGAGGGGGGGGGGGGCGTTACGCCGGTAAAAATGAGAGGGGGGAGGGCGCGCAGGAGGTCGGAGGCAAAAACGGGATAGTGCGTGGGTAATATTGAGGAGCCATATGGATTTGATTTTCCCCCTGGGCTGGGCTCCTGGGGGCGCCCCAAGCACAAGTCGCAGTGCTTCGTCGTGCCAGAGGGCCTCCCAGATCGAACCGAAAGCCTCGAACCCGCGGCCGAAGAAGCCGCGGAGCCCCGCTGCTTACGCTTCTGCTCCGCCTTCCCCGCCATCCCATGCGCTTGGGAGGAGCCGACTCTTAGTGCCACCTGGCACCAGGTGGGTTGAAGTTTCGCACAACTCACGCGCAACCTCCTTGGCCCTGTCAACGGCTACGGAGAGGGAGACTGGGTAGTGTGGATTGGGGCAGCACGGCGTAGCATATCATAGCACATCGTAGCATAGCATAGCATTGCACATCGTAGCACGGCATAGCACAGCATAGCACATATAATTGCAAATAACATATCATACCATAGCATTGCACATCGTAGCATTGCATTGGACGTCACGCATGGCACATCGTAGCATAGCATAGCACATATCATATCCTACCACAGCATTGCGCATAGCATAGCGCAGCCCACAGCATATCGCGCTATATCGTAGCACAGCGTATCGGGCCATACCATCTCATAGCATAGACATGGGCTGCAAACTTTAGTATCACAGCACAGCATAGCACATAGCAAACGACGACGACGATAGCATAGCACATATCACTTTAGTATCACAGCATAGCATAGCATAGCACGGCATAGCACATAGCATAGCACATAGCATAGCACAGCATAGCATAGCACATAGCATAGCACATAACATAGCACATCATAGATAGCACATAGCATAGCACATAGCATAGCATAGCACATAGCATAGCACACAGCATAGCACATAGCATAGCACATAGCATATCACATAGCATATCACACAGCATAACATAGCATAGCATCTCACATAGCATAGCACATAGCAGAGCACATAGATAGCACAACATTGCATAGCACATAGCATAGCACATAACACTTTAGTATCACAGCATAGCATAGCACGGCATAGCTTAGCCTGCAAATGGGGGGGCCGTAGCATATCACAGCATATTCGGAGCAATCGCAGGGTAATCGCACAGTGCATGGAGCGGTCGAGGACGGGAGCAAACTTTCGTCGGCTACACAAGAGGGCGACATGTCGGCTTACAACTCTTGTCTGATCTCGCGCTGGCGGCGGAGTTGCCAGCAGCTGACTGCAAGATTAACGAGGGCGCGCAGGGAGAGGGCAAGGGTGGATTGGGCGAGGGTGCGGAACAGCGGAAGGGGGTACCGGAAGAAAAGGTAGGTTGAGAAACTGACAGCAAGATGGAGGGGACTTGCAACAGCAGCACATAGATGGCCCAGATCACTTCTTACGGTTCTTCGCAATGGCCCTCCTCTGAAGCGTCTCCAACCGAGTGTCCTGACCAGCAACTTCCCCCACGAGCTTTGAAATCTTCTGAAGGAACTTCGACAGATGCTGGGCCCTGACCTTCCGCCAATACTTCTGCCTCTGCTTGTCGATCAGGCGCTGCGTGAGCCGCTTGATGGTCTGCTTGAGTTTCTGCGCCTCCTTCGAAGTGATCGTTCTTGGTGCACGGCCCATTGCAAGCTGAGCTAGCAATCGCAGGCCAGTTGGTTGGGGGTTCCTCGAATGCCCGAACTTTAACGCCTGAGAATATATGGCAGCATGAAGTGATGTGAGAACAACTGGCGGAAAAATCCCAACCATTTCCACGTCGGCGAAACGCCCAACCATTTCTCTGGCGAAAGTCCAAACCAATTCATCTGGCGAAAGACAAACCCATCTGGCGAAAGACCAAACCCATTGTTTGTATTATGTTGTTGTCGCTTGTAACGTATGTTGTATGTAATATAATGTTGTTATATGTTTGTTGTTGTTGTATGTTTGTTGTATGGTGTTGTTATTGTTTGTATTATGTTGTTGTTGTTGTTGTGTGTTGGTGTTGTTGTTATTATTTGTATAATGTTGTTGTTGGTGTTGTTTGTATTATGTTGGGTTGTTGGTTGTGTATTATGTTGTTGGGTTGGTGTTGTTGGCGTTGTTGGTGTTATGTTGGTGTTGGTGTATTATGGTGTTGTTTGGTCGGTGTTGTTGGTGCATTATGTTGTTGTTCGTGTTGTTGTGTTATGTTGTTGGCGTTGTTGGTACTATGTTGTTGGGTTGGTGTTGTTGTGTTATGTTGTTGGTGCTTTCTGGTCCCAAGAGAAGTATTCCTTACCGCTGCTGCGCTGACTTACCTGTGCTGCGTCGGGTATCCCTTACCGCTGCTGCGTCGTGTATAACACCAACAACAACATAATACCGCTGCAGCGCCCCGTATTCCTTACCGCTGCTGCGTCGGGTACCCGACGCAGCAGCGGTAAGGAATACCCGACGCAGCAGCGGTAAGGAATACCCGACGCAGCAGCGGTAAGGAATACCCGACGCAGCAGCGGTAAGGAAGCGGTAAGGAATACCCGACGCAACACCGATAGCGTTGAACCCAAGACGGCCCAAGAGTTCGCCAAGCGCTGCACGTTCTTCCTCATCCGCCCTGCGCCCGACAACAGATATGGCATTGACTGGGTCTCAAACGCGTAGCATGTCATATACTCAAACGCGTAGCGTGTCTTATAGTCAAACGCGTAGCGCGTCATATATTCAAGCGCGTGGCGCGTTTCATATTCTGACGCGTAGCGTGTCTCATATGTTGACGCGTAGCGTGCGATAAGTGGGAGCTCGGAGTTGAAACTCTTTCATATCTGAAGGCGTTGCACGTTGCACAGGATCAGTTGGTGAACAAGCTCCCTCGGCAGGGCGAAGCAACAATATCTCTCGCCGAGCCTTCTCGACGAAGCAAAGGCTCCATGGAATCACAATCATAATGGTACCACAGCATAACACCCATAGCATAGCACATCATAAATCCCTACGGCCCTAGACCCCAGACGGGCCACTGGCACATTTTTGGGGGACATGGACTTTGGAGTCGGATTTTGCGGGATCGTGGAAAGACGGGCGTTCTAACGCTTGTATAATAGAAAAGGTTAGGGCGGCGGGGCGGGTGGATGGGGGGGGGAGGGGGGGGGGGGGGGGGGGGCAGTGGGTCGTGGTGGGCATAACAAGGCGGCGGATGGGGCGCGCGATGCGGGGTGGGGGCGGGGTGGGGAAATCGCGGAACCGTTAAAAGGCAATTTGATTTGATTGGAGGATGGGGAGGGGAAAGGGGTGGGGGGGGGGAGGGGAAGGGGGGGTCTTTCGATGCAGAAGGGAAATTTCAGCCTCCAGACTTTTTCCCCGTTTAGAAAATTTCAAAACACACGCTAATGCGCAATGGTGCCATCGCCCATGCGGGCTATGACGGCAAAGCCATACCTTCAATTATTTTTAAGCAAAAGTAATTGGTGCACAAAACGCCCTGGCGGGGGGGGGGGGGGGGGGGTACTTAGCGCGCGCGGGCAGATGGGTGGCACGCACGCAAACCTTCATGTCTTTGATCATATAAAGCAATGTTGCTATCAAACAATACTCAAAACATAACCAAAACATAGTCAAAAAATACTCGGGCCCTCATGTTTGAGTCTTGCAAAGAGATCAAACGCTTTGTTTTGCTGTGCCAAGCAAGCGAAAACGTAACGACTACACACAACAACCATAATGAAAACATACTCACATAATAGTCAACAAATAGTCCCAGAATAGTCAAAAAATAGTCCCAGGATAGTCAAATAATAGTCCTGGCATTTTCTTGACATAGCCAACATAATAAAAAACATAGCCCAGGAATAGTCAAAACATAATCCCCGATCGCAACGTCGCCTGATAATCTCGGCTGTTGTAAAGTGTAGTGAAGTATTCCTGCCTCCACCAACCAACAAAACATAAGAACATGGACTATTCGCGCGGAGCGGGCACCCGCGGGAATAGGAACACTCCGAATTAAATACTATTTAAAATAGTTTAAAAATAGTCCGCCGACTATTTAAATACTATTTTAAATAATATTTAATTCAGTTTGCGGATTTCGGCGAACGCGCGAATAGTCCATGTACCTACTTTGTGGGGCCACAGGTTGACCATAATAGTCCGCGCACCTACTTGGTGGAGGTCCGAGGGTGATGAAGAAGGGGCGGAGGAGGAGGGAGGAGGAGGGGGGAGGGAGGAGGAGGGAGGGGGAGGGAGGAGGAGGGAGGAGGAGGGAGGAGGAGGGAGGAGGAGGAGGAGGGAGGAGGAGGAGGAGGAGGAGGAGGAGGGGAGGAGGAGGAGGAGGAGGGAGGAGGAGGAGGAGGAGGAGGAGGGAGGAGGAGGAGGAGGGAGGAGGAGGAGGAGGGAGGAGGAGGAGGAGGGAGGAGAAGACGCCCTATTGTGGCCCCAAGACAGCCTATGATGGCCCCAAGACGGCTTATGCTGGCCCCGAGACAGCCTACGGTGGCCCCAAAGACAGCCTACGATTACCCGAAGACGGCCCACTGTGGCCCCAATACAGCGCATGATAGCCCCAATGCAGCCCATTGTGGCCCCAAGACAGCCTATGCTGCCCCCAAGACGGCTTATGGTAGGTGGTCCCAAGACAGCCCACGGCCAAGCGTTGAATTGCATAGCATATCGTAGCAAAGCGAAGTGCGGAGTGCCCCAGGCAGCCCATGATGGCCCCAAGAACCCAAGAAAACCTACGAGGGCCCCAACAACCCAATAAAACCTACGAGAGCCTATCCTGCAGGGGGCACGCGTAGCGTGTCTTATATTCAAACGCGTAGCGTGTCTTATATTCAAACGCGTAGCGCGTAGCGTGTCA